GGCGCATGTAGCGAGATGATATCAGCACTGGTCCAGATCTCGTCTTGGCTGACGTACTCGACGCCATAGCTCAGTGCTTCGGGGTTCTGCACTACATCGTAGGCAAGCACCTTAGCACCGAAGCCAGCAGCGATACGAGCGAACAGAGCTCCAATCTTGCCCGTACCCACAACACCGATGGTCTTGCCGTTGATATCAAAGCCCAACAAACCAGCGAGACGGAAGTTCTGCTCGCGTGTGCGGTTGTACGAGCGATGGATCTTGCGGTTCAGCGTCATCATCAAGGCAGCAGCGTGCTCGGCCACAGCGTATGGGGAGTAGGCCGGCACGCGGGTTACGACCATGCCGAGCTCCTTGGCGACCTTGAGGTCGATCATATCGAAGCCGGCGCAGCGCAGGAACACGGCGCGGGTGCCACCAGCGTGCAGGGCGCGTAGAGATTCCTCATCAGCGATATCGTTAACGAAGATGCACACACCTTCGCAGCCCTCGGCCAACTTGGCAGACGTGTGGTCTAGACGCGGCACCAGGAACGTGATCTCATGGGTTGGGGTCACACCGTCCTCCTTGGCGATGCGCTCCATCGACTCAATGTCGTAGCTGTGCGTGGAGAAGAAGGCGATCTTCATAGTGTTAAAGCGTAGCTTGCTCAGGTCTTGGTATATTTGAGAATGAGTGTGTCTGACTGGGGATCAAAACTCGGCATGATACGCGTGTTTTTGTGAGCAACATGGCACGCTATGAGACACTGTGAGCGGCATAACTTTGTCACTTCAACATAATTCAATCGTAAAATAAGGCATCTGTGCTTTGGACAAAGACTTTTGTGAAAGTCGCGTTGATACGATGATAAACATGCAGCCCATGAGGATTCAACGCTCGAGGTGAGCAATCCCCAAGACGTCAAGTTCGTCGTGGCGCGACTCGACTCGGTCTTATCGACGGCCGTTGCGGAACTGCGACCGGCCAAACTCCATGTCTTTGAAGCCACTACGAGGATTGTCGAGCAATCGATATTCTCATGATGAAGCTCATTCCGTAGCATGCTTGCGTGTTGCTGTTGCTGACGCTCTATTTCGAGATGGTTTGTACTCTGCCTTCTACGTAGTAGTAAAATTCTAAAGAAGCAGCAGCAAGCATGCCATTTTGCCACTCCAGCAGATAAGTTCACTTGCACTGTAGTCGCAATCAATATAACTACAGCAACGGCGACGTTCTGGTTCGACTTCATCTAAACACGATGACAAGCTAGCACCCCAGCCGACAGACAGTACACAACCCTTCTTTGTAAAAGGAAAACCTGCATGTTCATCTAGGATACTATTGACATGTATCAGGCTGTCGAAATAGAATGTTACGCTTTACTTGACCTCGTTCACCAGCGTCTTCTTGGCCTCGTACGCCTTCACATTAGCGAAAGTCGTCAGGGCAATGTTGTCCAGGGCCTCCTTGGTGAAGAAAGCCTGGTGACCCGTGATCAGTACGTTCGCGAACGTGAATAAGCGAGCTAAGGTCTCGTCTTGGATGACAACACCCGAGCGATCCGAGTAAAAGTATGCACCCTCACCCTCGAACACATCAAGACCCACTGCGCCGACCTTGCCACTCTTCAGGCCATCCACAAGGGCCTTGTTGTCGATCAAACCGCCACGGCTCGTGTTAATAATCGTGACACCCTTCTTCATCTTTGAGATGCTGTCGGCGTTGATCGTGTGTTTGGTGGAAGGGAACAGCGGGCAGTGCAGCGAGATGATGTCAGCGCGCTTCCACATCTCGTCCAGCGAAACGTATTCGACACCATAGCTCAGAGCCTCGGGGTTCTGCACCACATCGTAGCCGAGTACTTTGGCACCGAAGCCAGCAGCGATACGAGCGAACAGGGCACCGATCTTGCCCGTGCC